TGGGACAGAAAATACGGGGACGGCGAACCGAGAGAAGGCGCCCGTCAGATTAGGCGAGAAAAATGATGGAAAAATAGGAAAAGATGGTGAATCCTGTCAGGAGGTCTCTCCAGGTGCTTGCTCACCCGCGGTGCTGCATCCCAGGCAGGGAGGAACAATTTCACTTCGCTCATATCGGTTCATGTGTCCCCTGCAGACGCACGTTTTGAAATACTTTGCAACAAGTATTCATCAAAATCGCCGTTGCCCCGGCTCGGTTTCGGGTTCATCACATCTGTTTTCCCTCTACAGCTTGCTATTAGTAGTGCAAGATGCTTGGCTGTTAGCAGTGCCTCACAGCACTAAGCAAGTATAAGAAACAAGCTTCCTACCAAAAGCAAACTGGTTTTGCTGGTTAAAAAGTGCCTTTGTTGATTGATTTAGAAGGAAGTTAAAAAATCTCCATCCTAGTCCCGTAAATGAATACAAGTGGTCTTACAGATCACCTGAGTGTGAAGTGTGCAATGAGGTTTTTTAAGTTACCATTACGAATTTTAGTACAACAGGATAAGAGTGTCACCTCCAGTAAGTTCTGTCAATCTCCTGAAGAAATCAGAATTATGAAATTGTTCTGTGTGTCTCTGCGTATGTCTTAGAAAAAACTTTTGAACCCATTGGCTAATTTCAGCCAGATTTGAAAGACAGAAACGTCTATCTGGAAACTAACAGATGGGGAGAAGAGGGAAATCCTGAAATCTGCGCTCTGCTGCAAGAAAAGCAGGCATAAATTAGTCCTTATTTGTTCTTTCTAGCAGTAGGTGGCTGGGCAATTGCTGTACGCAGAGTTCTTCATTAGCGTTACATGAAGGAGAAACAGGAGGAAAATTGATATCGGAAGTGGAAAAGAACTGTGGATATTGTTTTGGATAGAGAAGGGAATTTAGAGGACAAAAGTTACAAAGCTTGGTTTCTTACAGGTTTGCAACTTCAGCTTCTAACAGCACAGCTTACTGTTTTTTTTTAAACATTCCTTCTGTAGCAGGCTTGTCTGGGCTTTTCTTTAAAAATAGTCCTAACAGCTCCTTTGTTCTCTCTAAACCACACTTGGAAGATCTTGAGGTACATCTTCGCTTATGCAGTGTTCCTTCCAGACCGGCTTATTTAAAACAGCCTTTTCCCAAACTTGAAAATTGCATCTGTTAAGTACTTCTCTACAACAGTAGCCTCAATCTTCAAACAGTTCTGTTTTATAGGGTAAAAATGAACGTAGGAGTTGCCCACAGCGAGGTAAATCCAAACACGCGGGTGATGAACAGTCGTGGAATGTGGCTGACATACACGCTCGGAGTCGGCATGCTGCACATTGTCTTGCTCAGCATTCCTTTCTTTAGTGTCCCTGTCGCCTGGACTTTAACAAATGTGATTCACAACCTGGTAAGTGCCCTCTCTTGTAACAAAATTTGAAAAATTGTTCATACGTACTCATTTTTAGTAGCGGGAGAAGAGGAAAAATAGCCAGGCTGTATGGATAATGAAATCCCGGCTAGCCAAAACACCGCCTCTACTTGGCTCATCCACTGTTAATCGAGTTGGCAGTTTTTGGGAGGAGGAGTGATATGTGATTGCTTTGGATTTGAGCACAAAATACGTGAAACATTCCTTACGTATTTTATGTATTCTTTTAAAAAGCATCTAATTAAGCTAGAATCTCGAAAGCATAAAATCATTGTGCCAACTGACTGTTACAGTGTTTTGTATGTTATTAGAGAGCTGTGCTGAATCCATGAAATATATTACATATTTAATGCTTGGATATTATTTACTGATGTTTCCACATAAGTCTGTTAGTTTCCAAAAGTGTTTAATTTCAGCACTTTACCTATTGCCTTGGACAGAAACATTTGTGTTCTTTTTCTTCTTGCTTTGATTTCTGGTCAAGCTAGAGGAATTTTATCTCAGAATGACTTCAGCATACAATTTTGTCACTATGCATGACATCAGAAAAAACTTATTTGAGAGCAGTGGAAAAAACTGGACCACCTTGACCAGACCCTGAAGCCTTTTGTTATTCAGTGGATTGCAATTTGCATGATGACTTTTGTACATAAAAGGATTTGGGAGCTGAAGACGTTAAGAATCTTTTTGCCTCCTCTCCCCAGGATACTATAATTTTGTTGTAATAGTCTGAAGTCATGCAAGTATGTATATTGGTCCTGCCAAATTTAGAGAAGAGAGGGCCATAATCCAGCAATTTACATCATACTTGGGGTTTGCTAACTCAGCTTTCTAAGACTACCAGTAAAGCAGTCTTGACAAAACGATAGCTTCTTCCTTATTTAGGAAGATGATAGTTTACTTTAAAGGCTGAGGTTGGATAATATCTTCTAGAATCCTGTAAAGAATTTTTTTTCTTATTCAAGCTTTTTATTTTTGTAGCTAGATTTAAAACTAATAGTGAGATTGTAAGCACCATTAGAGCATTCTGTATGTTATCTTCGACAGTGTCAGACACGTCTGACTTCGGAAGATGTTGGCAGAGACAAGTATTACTAAATATTTCCCAAATGCCTTACTGAATTCATTGCAAGTAGCTACAATGACAACAGGGATGAGAGCATGCACTGGCAAGTAGTTTTCTAGTGGAACACTATGAGTATGAACTGCACTTTTGGGTATTTCAGCATTTAAATGGTGCTTTTTGGGAAACAAATCATTGAACGGTTGACAAACAAAAGATTCCTGGATTTCCACTAATGGATAACTCTTAGCTGACCTTGCAAGCTTTTTTGGCAGTCCTTTCTGCAAGTACCAGTGTGAAATAAAATGCATAGTAAGCATTTGGATCTGTCCTAAAAATGCCTTTTTGGGTAAGTTATTAAAACTGAGACACTGCAAACATCATGACTTGAAGAATTAATTAAGCAAATTAGTTCTCTTAGGTTAATAGGCCTCTGATCAGGGTGCTGTTCCAAAAAAAAAAGTGGAAGAAGGCGTGAAGTGATTTGCTCAACTTTCACCTGCTTCATAAGAATTCAGAAGAAATGTGATTTTTCTGTGTAAAGCTTTCCATAACAAATTCTGTACGTGCATGAGAAAGGAACACATCTGAAACAAAATGGAAGTCTCTGATGTTTTCTGGTAGCAACTCTTGCTTGGAGTTGGTGTGCTTTCTTTGACAGAAAACAGATGTGCGTTAAAACTGGAAGAGGGTCGAGTTCCCAATCAATCCCTGATTGATCTTTGGGCCCACATTGATCTTTCAGAACAGACCAGACTTGGATCATCAAATGGAAACAACAGCAAAGATCAGTCCGGTGTGGTTACGGAGAAGCAGCAGAGAGATGAACAGATGGTACTGGACAGATTGCTGGCAGGCAGCTCTACACATTTGAAGCTACTTGGGGGCTGAGAAAGCTTTCAAAAGTTCTTGTGATAGTGCCGGTATTCGAAGATAAATTCTTTGCTTTGTGCAGACTACCTCATAACTCATTTACACTGTCGTAGGAAAGTGGTGACGTAAATTGGCAGCCCTGAAATTGTTACAGTGCTTGTTAAATTCTCTTCATTTAGTGCAATTTTTGCCATCTAATGTAGAAGATGAGGCAGTGGATCGGATGTCACATAGACTTTGGCTTTAATTCTGACTGTGCCACTGACTGCACAACCTCGGGCAAATTGCGTCCTGTCTCTTCCTTCCCCTTCTATAATTTGTCATTACAGGCTAGCAGCTCTTCTGGGTGAGAATTCATTTCTTCTCTTTTTTTCACCAAACAGTGAAAAAAAACTGGCTTTTTGGACAGCATAACAGTTATGAAGAAGTACAGCTAAAATTGCTCTATTCCCTTTTTGTTTTCCCCAGGGAATGTTTGTGTTTTTGCATGCAGTAAAAGGAACTCCTTTTGAAACACCTGACCAGGGGAAAGCTAGGCTACTAACACACTGGGAACAACTGGATTATGGAGTACAATTTACATCTTCAAGAAAATTCTTCACAATCTCTCCTATAATTCTGTGAGTTCACAACCATATTATGGATTAAGTAAATCGTAAAGCCATGATTTCAAAAGCTGCAACCAAATGAGTTGCGATTTACATTCTGAAAGCATTTTCTCTCATTTTTTGCTTTTTTGTTTGTTTCTACATCACAGAGGTGGGGAGTACATCTTTACAGGCCAAATAATCAACAATCTTTCTTCCTGCAGCTTTCAGCACTCATTCACGTACTGAAGTTTGTAAACAGTCATTAATGGGACAGGTTTTAAAGATTAGAAATGTTATGAGGAAAACTTACTGCTAACTCTTGACGTTCTTTAAGAGACTGTGAGGTGAAAAATACTGAAAATCTAAACTAATTGCCTTTGGCACACGCACATGACAGCATTTATTAACCATTTTGAAACTTGTGAATTAGGAGGAGCATGGCAGTCCTCACTGAGTGGAGTCCAGGATTTTGTGTACCAGTTTTGCTTTGTACAGAGTGTCTTCTGTTTACACTAGTTATGTAAATAGACGAGAAATTCTGTACCGCCTGTTGCTGTTGACAAAAGTATTGTTGTGTAACTAAAGGAAATCAGATACATATTTAACATCCAACTCTAAAAAGTCTTTCTATTTTTCCCTGAAGGAAGCTGCCCACTTGCATGGCAGGGGGATGAGGGAAGTGAAGATCTTGCATCGTGTTTAGAAAGTTGGTTCACAAAGGAGAGCAACTGAAAAAAATACCTATATCTCCTCAGAAAAAATTCTTAAGTTAGCTTCCTGCTTTCCAGTGGAATTTTGTACTCGTAACACTTGTGTTTGGTTCTCCTCATTCATTAATAACACCTGAGTAGCTGAATAAACATCTCAGTTTCACTGGGAAAAAAAACAAAAACCCAGCAAACTGATAGCCTTATTGCAGTGACTAGTTTTTTCAAAGAACAAGATTAATTTATTGGCTCAAATCATAAAGAAGTTGGTAGTGAATTGGATTTTCTGAGGCACATTTCCTTATTCTTGCAGACGAACAGGTTGTCGACTAGCTTAAAAGAAAAATGTGATGGAAATGTCTGCCAGAGGGAAAGCATTTTAAAATCACGCCAATCGCAGATGTGCTCAGCATAAATTATTTTTGCACTGAAAAATGCATTGTCACTGAGCTTGCTAGGGTAGGTAGCAGAAAAACTGTATCATAAGTCAGTCTCGTAGCTGCAGAAGTCAGAGACTGCAACTTGAGGGGTGGGGACAAGCGCTAGAGGAAAACACTAGTTGCTTTTTTTTCCTTGAGAAGTATGGGGAGAGACTTAGTGCATAATTTTGCTGTAGTTATTCTACAGTAAATATCTCAGGTGAGATATTAACTAGTAAAATATTACAGATTACCAAGCACTTTTTTTAACTATGCTTTGCTTGTTTATTTTTTAGACAAGGGTGTCACGGGCTAAGCTTCCTCCCTTGTCTCCCTCAGGTACTTCCTGGCAAGTTTCTACACAAAGTATGATCCAACACACTTTGTCCTCAACACCACCTCTCTCTTGACCGTGCTTATCCCCAAGCTGCCACAGTTGCATGGTGTTCGAATCTTTGGCATCAATAGATATTAAACAGAAGGTTTGGTGCTGACCGCCCCTGACATGGCTGCTGCTGCTCCCCAGGTGAAGGAAACAGTAACTGCTGTGCTGTGTATCTACTTGTATTCAATAAGAGATGCTTTTACATCTGAGATACAATTCCTGCTTCCTGCAGCATTATCTGGGATGAAAGCTGCGTTTATAAGAAAATGCCTTCAAATACTTAAATGTGAATCAGAAACCTCTAGAAGAAAGATTTCCATGAAGAACTGGGCAGGCCCAGCTCTAAGCGTAATCACCACTAAGGCTGTACGTATGCCTGGCTGATGGAAGCGACTTGCAAGGAAGGTGCAAGATACACTTGAAGTGGAGAGTGAGGTTTCACAAATACTCAGTCAACATCCTGCAAAGGATAACTTTACGTGCAAACCCAGGATCCTCAGTGCCAAGGACTGGTGAGGCCGCGTTGTTCGGCGAAGTGGAAGTAGCTAGTTTCTGCTGTATGGATTGTAGGTGGCTGTGCTTGTTGTTGCACCGTAAAAGTTTGTCTCACAGTAAATACTGTGACAGCTAACGTAAACTGGTGGTGTAATTCACGCCTTACCTGTTCTTGTGATGTTTTGTCACAAAGACCGAAGAAAGTCCTTAACTGCCAGCTCAGGGGATTTCTCCATCGGCTTGATAGCTCGGTTTACGTACGCTTTTACAAGTCACTACTCTTGTTTATTTCATTCTGCTTACCAGGATACTGACTTTTCTGTGTGTAAATGGGACATCCTGAAAAACTGAGATTTCTGTTAAGGTGTGGATTTTTGGGTGTTTTCTCTGATCCTTCACTGATGGGTTACTTTTCAGTAGTTGAGAGGCCTGTAATGGTGGAGGAGAGGGCTGCTGCTGTTGTAGCAGAAGCAGCTCCATGACAGAGCAACAGTGTCAGAACACGTAAGAGAAACTCCGTGTAGGTCGTAAGTTAGGGTAGAAGCCAAACTAGAAGTAGGCGACTAGGCAGATCACATGAACTCACTGTATGCTTTTGCAGGAAAAGATATAGATAATTTGCATGCCTTGGAAACGCTGAGGAGTGCTGTGGTTTAGGGGTACTGTGTAATATGGAGTAACCTTGTATATAATCGACTCTGGAATTAGAGTGAAGGAGGTGCATCTAGCGCTTGGAGTGCTGATCGATTTCTCTGTCTTCGAAAATGGATGAATTCTGAAGTCTACCATATGTCTGCCAGCCAAAACCAGCTCAGATTTAACAGAAGACTCAATTTAAGACTTGATTTACAGATTGGTTGCAGTGACAGCCACTGTGCTGGAAAAAAGTAATAATAAAAAAATAAATAAGAAAAAAGCCCACAGTGGCATACTTCTTTTCTTGCTAAGAGAATTTTCTGGCTATTTACTTTATCGATAAAGATGCCGTTAAAAAAAAAAAAAGAAATGGTAATGAGTTATGAATCTTTTTTAGCAGTTGGAAGGAATTCTTTTATTTGCACAAGGTGGTAACTGGCTAATTTTTAAATGATGGCCGCCC